TCGATGACTTTTTTAAAATCATGATTATTTTTTTTTAAATAATCTTTTAATGTTTTGGTAGTTGATTCTTTATAGATTAAATCATATAATTTATTAATGATTTCATTCATCTTTACATATAAAAAAATCTATCTGGTCATTAACTAGATAGATTCAATTTTGTAGAATTGAAATAAAAATAATTTAAGTAATAATTAAATCTTTTTTGAATCTAATAAAAATATTTTATGATATGCTATACAAGTATTATGAACATGATATTCATATGTTCCATTCAAATAATTGAATAAACTAAGAATAAGTCCATCTCTAGCTGAACAGAAAATAGTTTGGCAATTATAATTCAGATCAAATACATAATTACACTTAATACAATACTCATCAGAAGTGCAACGATCACAAAAAGTTTTTCCAAAATATGATAATACACTTGATTGTAGTAAATGAAAATTATTATCAATCAATATAGTTTCATACTTGAATTCATCAATTGATGTATTCAACTTAAATTTTAAATTATTGAAACAGATATAGATCTCATTATTCTTAAATATCATATAAAATGAAAATATAGAAGGAGGTTCATGTGTAAGATAATCTTTTTTAACTAAACAGTACTTAACTTCATGTTCACGATGAATATCTTTACAAAGTTTATTCCAAAGAATACAAACATTCTTGAGTTGATAGTAATGTTTATCAGTTATAAAAATAACTTGAGGAAGAACAAACTTAAATATTTGTATAAAAATTTCTTTAGAAACATAAATCATAATAAAGATTATGAACAAAAAAATCTATCAGGTCATATTAACTTGATAGATTAATATAAATGATAAAATTAAATAAAATATAAAATAATATAAATAAAATTTAAATATAAAATACTTTTCTACAATATTTTTAGTAATCAATAAGTCTAATTAAAAATCTATGTTTACCAATAATAAAAAATATTCGGTTTATTAAACTAAATATTTAATAATAAAAATTATAATAATTGATTAAAAAAAAGATCATAAGATTTACAATCACATTTCTTTTAATATAGTTTGAAATCAATACAATCTTTACATAAAACAATCTTGTTATCAAACTTAATATGTTTTGGATAAATAGTATCAATACTAGTTTTATATAAAGCATAAAGTTGTTTTAAATATTCGTTTGAACATGTTTCACCATGTCTATCTTATTTCTTTTTATGTCTAGTTGTTGTTCTAAGAGGTGGGTCTACATAAACAATCTTATAAAATTCAAGATGATCAGTTTTAATAACTTTCTTATCTACATATTCTCGTTCATCCTCATTTTTAACAAAATTGTTAAATATATTCACGTCTCTGATAGTATAATCTTTAATAATATAATCATAATTCATTAAAGTTTTAATACGTGATGCTTTTTCTTTATAGAGATTAATAACCACATATTGAAAAAACAGAAAGTTTTGAGTTTTGTAAAACAGTTCAAGTTCTTCAGAAACTTCAAGTAATGTTTCAATAAATCGATAAACAGAAAATCCTCTTTGTTTCAAATAATCTTCAAATAATTTCGCACATGTAGTCTTTTCAGCTCCAATGGTTCCTGTGAATACAATAATTTTTGTAATCTTTTTTGATATTAGAATAATATAACAAAGAAGAAATAATAAAAAAAATAAAATCAAAACTACAATAACTTTAATTGAAAGTGATTGAATCATTTTTATTTTATATATAAAAAAATCTATTTGGTTATAAACTGAATAGATAATTTAATTATTATAAATAAAATATTATTAAACTCCTATTTTACTAATTTGAAAAACT